GGCTCCAGCAAACACCAGCTGATACTAGAAATTAATATTAAATAAATTCTAACAACAGCTTATCAAGCTTAAACATGCTGCTGTTGTTTAGCGCGACATCCGCTGGTTTCCTCTTTCTGGCGCAAAGTGGGCGATAAACAAAAAAGAGAAAAAACTATCATGATTTTTTTTCTCTGTCTGTGATAAGATTGCTTTCAGAGCCGTTACCTAAGCAAGGGGGAGGGTGCATTCGATCTCCTCAGCTGTAATTGGTCCAGCGCAGAGTCAATCATGACCAATTGGCTCATCCACCACCTTTCATTGTTATACTGTTATAAAAAGAACAAAAAACATCGGCCCATGAAAAAGAAAAATCACAATTGGCCCACCTGGCAAATGCCCTGTATATCCGATGGCCAGTCCAGCTGTGATCCAAGGCCCGCTGTTAGAGCCAAAAGTAAAAACGTGTATATGGTGGATTTTTCACCATAATTTGGTCTTTCATCAATACAGGTTTTGAAAGCAGTTTACAACAAATGTTGTACAGTCCCGATCAAAAGTTTAAGACCACTTAAAAAATAGCTAAAAATCATATTTTGCATAATTGGATCTTAATAAGGTTCCAAGTAGAGCTTCAACATGCAACAAGAAGAAATGGGAATGACACAAAATATTTTTTTGAGCATGCAATTTATTGAAAAGAATGCTTGAACTGAAACAGGCTGTTTTACAGCTGATCAAAAGTTTAAGATCACATGCCTTTAACACGCCAAATCTGTGCAGAAATGTGGATTCATAGCCTGTTTCTGTTTAAGGGTTGTTTTCAAGAAATTGCATGCTTACATTTTTTTTTGTCTCACTCTCATTTCTTGTTGTTGCATTTTGAAGCTCTGCTTGGAATCTTATTTAGATACAATCATGCAAATATGATTTTTTTTTGCCATTTTTCATGCGATCTTAAACGTTTTAACGGGACTGTATGTATGTGCAGTATGCTGTTTTCACTTGTGGCACCAATTGAGTTTGTCAGTATTACAAGCATGCCAAGCCTTAATGAAATTATTTTGCCTTAATCTAAAAAAAAACAAAAACAAATGAAAATATCAAAACGTACTTGCTTACTTATTTTGCATACTAGTTAATGTTTTAAAGCCATAAATTATGCATGTTAAGTTGATAGATTTTATAGTAACACCAACATCCACCTCCAGGCTGGAGAAAACAACCTCCAACCACAGCCTTTAGAATAGTTTCTTCTCTTACATAAAATTTCTATGAATCCCAGTGTGTATTTCCAAGAATGTGTGAATCATTTGAGCTTTCATCAAACATCTGTGATGATCAATCTTTTTGGCAAAGGTGAGAGAAAAGTTTGAGTTGTATTTGCATTGTTAAACATTTTTCTTATGACATAGTTCACATGAAGTGTGGAAAGTTTAATTACAGATATCAAAGAGTTTTATACTCTAAAAAATATAAATATATTTCTGGATACTATGAAATGTATCCTGCCTGTACATTTCTGTAAGATAGGAAAGATAATTTTTTGACATTTTTAAGTTCTGCTCTTGTCACCTCTATTTCATTATCTAATTTCTCTTTTAAATTTGTAAGTAATAGTAGTTAATGATACTAATTAAATAAGTACTAATTACTTACATAATTTCTTTAAAAAGTGAGGTAATTTCACATTAGTTGGGTTTAAATAGAATTTCAGTAGTAATGACGTGCAATACCACTGGTTTGATATATCGGTCTTTGTGTTCCAATTTTCAGATGTTCATTCACAGCATCCTGGTAAGCATCCAAGAACAATTTTGCACGATTCCCCATTTCAGATGTGCTGTAAATACAGTTAACAAACATTACTGTAACTCATTTGTTTCAGCAAGAAAACAATTTTGGCTGGGTCTTTTATTTTATTTTTATTTAAACCCACACCTGTTGTTGTCTGAGCTACATATGTGCCAAGATGGCAACGAAAACAATGAAAAGCTTTTTTTGAGTAGTTGCGGCTTCCCTTCATAATCTTTTGAAATTTACAGTGTAAATGGTATTAGTAATTTACAGTTCCAGGCTGATCATCGTATTCACTATTGAACTTTTGTGTCTTCTTCTGTCAGCATGTGGCAGGGCTAATAAAAATGGCAGAATCGTAGGAGGTGAAGATGAAGCCCCTGGAAGGCATCTTTAGCCAATGCTGGCTTTTTTTTTCCTGTGGAGGGTCCCTAATCACCGACCAGTGGGTGCTGACAGCTGCTCACTTCATTACTCCAAATGCAGTTACTGTGACACTTGAAAACATCATCTGCCATCCCGACTACAATGCTTTAACATATGAGAATGACATGTGCCTCCTGCAGGTGTCGACTCCTGTGAATTTCACAGACTACATTCAGCCAGTCTGCTTAGCCTCAGCAGGCAGCACTTTCTACAATGGCACCAGCAGCTGGGTCACTGGCTTTGGTGACCTATCAAGTAATTTATAAAATATATATTTTTCTTTTATATTAGTGATACATGTAAAAATGCTCTTTTTTTTAAAAATTTCTCAATTAGGTGGTGGTTCCACCCCAGAGACTCTGCAGGAGGTGAATGTACCAATAGTGGGAAACAATGAGTGCAATTGTGACTTACAAAACTTGGTTGCAATAACAGATAACCTGATCTGTGCTGGATTGAAAAAAGATTCATGTCAGGTGACTACCACTTTGTGCTTATTTGTAATGTAAAGCCTAATTGACTGCATTGAGTATCAGCTTTCAACCACTCACTGTTTTTCTGTAGTGTTTATGATTATTAACATTATAGCCCTTTTCCATTAGCAGTTACTTGACTCAGCTCAGTTTTCACGCAATAGGTGAAGTCTCTTGCCCAAGGGCACAATGACCGAGACAAACAGAGCAGGGGATCAAACTGCCAACCTTCCAGTTGCAAGATGAGCTTCCCATACTCCATTGTTGTGTTTTGGTTGTTTTTTTGGCCGTGATGTATACAAATGATGTCACTGGACTTTTGGCCCCATTGCTATAATGACCCAATGCACAATCAACTGTACGACAAAATGACCAAAACTGAGTAGAGTCGAGTCCACACTGAGCACGAGTGAAAAAGAGGCCTTTATTTGTTCAAGTTCATTTATTCATACATCATTTCACTTAGATTTATTTCATTTCTTTTATAAACCAAATACCTTGAAAAAGTTTTGTGATACTCTCTGTCAGTGACTAAAAACGATTTAATCATGTGAAGGTGAGAGTGTTGGATGATACTATAACTAATCAGTACAAGTTATGTGTGTCTGATTGACGGTTAACACGAACAGCTCCAGAACCATTTTATGCATTTAGTAGAAATTAAGTTCCATGAGATGTTCAACTGATCTAAGTCTGTTTTAAGAACTTACACATTTTTTACAGGAATACTCGGGGGGTACCACTTGTGACAAAAAATAATATAGGTATCTAGATCCAGAGTGGAGTTCTGAGTTTTGGTGATGGCTGCACCCTACCTAGTAGAACAGGAGTCTACGCTCGTGTGTCCCAGTACCAAAACTGGATCAGTGCCACCGTGACCGGAACACCACCAGGTTTTGTTACCTACACCTCCCCGGGCTTTGACTATGACTTATTCTTCACCTGCCCCACATCAATCTCAACCACTGCTCCTACCTGCAAAGAAAAGCGTCTGGACTTCTTTAAGTTGCTTGAAGACATTTCACCTCTCATCTGAGAAGCTTCTTTAGTTCTAAGGACAAATGATGGGGAATCCCAGATTTAAACCTAGTAGGAGTATCCCCCCACAGAGGGACAAAAGGACCCCCTGATGATCCTCCAATCGCCTGAGCCAAGGTGTGAAACTGGGTGTGGGTCCCAATCAGCCAGGGTTTCGGGTGCGCTCATTCTGAAACCTGGCCCCACCTTATCATGCGAATTCCTGAGGTCAGATGGCCCAGGATATGAGTGGGATACTCCCACTAGGTTTATATCTGGGACTCTCCACCATTTGACCTTAGAACTGAAGAAGCTTCTCGGATGAGAGGTGAAACGTCTTCAAGCAACTAAAAGAAGTCCAGACGCTTTTCTTTGCAAGCTCCTTTGACTACGATGACCTGGATGACTGAGAACCTTCACAGACATCACATTCTGTTCAGGGCCAGCTGTGGACGAATGAAGCCTCAATACATCTACACTTTAAATGGGTGTAACATTTCAAACATACATCATATTATCTGTTTTTCCTTTTGCAGAATGGCAATGCATTCGAGATTATTTTTCTCAGAAATTCTATTCATGACATCACACAAGAATAGACAAATTAGTTTGCATCAAAGTGGTTATATAATGTAACATCAAATATTTAGACTAAACCCAAGCCCATTTCTTAAGTCCTGAAAAAACACGTCATAACAACAGTCGTATGTTACAGTAAGTCCTTCCTTTTGACAGAAGAAATAGTTCACTTTATTGAGCATGTATCTACAATATGCAGCTTTTCAAATGAGAAAATGAAAATGAAATAATCATACCTAAAAATAATCAAAGTATTGAATGATGTCATAATTAAAACATTACCTTGGTTTTATAGTTTAGTTAATGTTTTATCTCCATAGATTTTCCATGTCATGACATAGATACGGTCTCATATTCACACCTGCTGGTTGAAGGAAGTGTTTCTCAGGAAAATAATCTGGGTAATTATTTCATTCATGTTCACTTATCCATTCATCTT